GTTAAGTCTTACATGACTACGGGGTGAATTGATCAGTTCCATTCTACAAAGGGTTAAGTCTTACATGACTACGGGGTGAATTGATCAGTTCCATTTTGCCAGGTCTTTTCCAAATCCAAACAGCAGAATCTGCCAGCACCTGCAGAGGAGAGCGCTGCCTGGTCTTCCAAACATGGTAGCCTCAAGGCTCACCCAGGCAGCCTGGGCGCTCAGCAACATGAGCTGGTCAGGGCCAGGGGGAAGGTCCTCCTTGCTAGAGTAAGTCACCACGCTGCCTCCCATCCCAAGTCCTTTCTTCTTCCCAGGGTAACCCTCCAATCACTGTTTCATTCCCTCTCCTTCCAGGCACCTTCACTGACCCTCTCCCTGCATCCTGGTCCACTTCTCCTGGCTGGCTTTCCCCCGGAGGGTCACACTCCTCCATGTCTCCCTACTCTCCTTAGCACGACCTCATCCCTTATTTCCTGCCTGCCCACCATCAAAAGCCATTTCCCCCCTGCCATCAGCTTCTTACCCGTCAATCAGCTTGGGTGTCTGGTATGGGTGCTTAACTGCAGGCCTTGGGAGTTCCAGGTTAGCCGGAGTGCCAGGGTTCTGGCCCGGGTGGGCTCACATCTGGCCTTCCCTGGGGCTGCCTAGAAGAGTGGACTTCTAAGCTGATTCCAACCATGAAACCAAGCTGGTGGCTTGTGTGTGTGCAGGATCTCCCAATGAACCCCTGCCGCTGGGCATACTTCGCACCTTGCATCTCTCCCCTCCTGAACCGGCTCTGGTTGGGCCCAGCTTGGGACCTTGCTCTTCAGATGACTTACTGGGGGGCAGTCTCAGTGGCCAGGACCAGACGGGGGGGGGGGGGGGGCGGGGACCCAGCACCCACCCCTGAGAGCAGCCTGCAGACAAATGCTTTCTGTCTAAAATAACGATTACATCAGAAGAATTATTTCAGGAATGCACTGAATTTGCTGTTAGTGAAACTGTATTCCCCCAAACACTGGCAGTTTGTGCTCCCTTCAAGGCCTAAATTTAGTGCTCTAAGTGGTCTAGCCAGGGCTGGGTCATTCCGTAGGAAAAGTAAGCAGAGGCTCATTAGACTTTCCCAGCAAAGAGAGCACGTTGAGCACTGGAAAGTTTTGTTCTCTTGGTCAACCCCACACAAACGACCACCCCCAACCAAGCGCACCACCATGGAGACTGTTCTGACTCACAGTGACTCTGTGGAGAGTTTTGGGAATTTTTCTAACTCTGATTGGGAGCAGACAGCTTCATCTGTCTCCTGAGGAGTGCCCACATGCTTACTCAACACTGCACAAAACTACAGAGAAGGAAGCTCTAAAAAATGCATAAATCCTAAAGAGGTGAGAAAAACAGGAGATGACAACATTTTGGAAACTGGAAAATAGATAAATCCACAGTTATTGATGTGTACACCCAGGGAAGCAGGATCCTAAAACGGCAGTGTAAGCAGAGAACCACCATGATGAAATGTCAGAGCCCCCCAAGGCCCAGCGATTGGTGGCTGCAAGCATCTTTGAAAGTGGGGGTAGAGGCAAAATCAAAGAAGATTGTGTGGAAGGCAGATCAGTTTTTGCATACGGAGGACTGGCTTTCAGGATATAGTGGTAGAAACACAGGTGCTTAATGTAATTACTGTCAATAACTTGTACACTTTTTAAAAATACTTGTAGAAAGGTTGAAGTGGCAAAGATTTTAATAAGGTATTTACAAGACAACACTATTTTCGCTTTGTTTTATTTGTGTTCTTTCATTGTAGGGGTTATCTCAGAGGTGCTATGTCATTGGAGGGCACCCTCTTGAAGCTGTGTTAGATGTTTTTCTGTTGTTTGGTGTATGAAACCCAGGATTGATGAACCTCTATGGACAGCAAGTAGAATAAGGGTTTCAGGGGACAGGGGGGACAGGGGTGGTGATTGGGTAGGGGAAGGGGAGGGTAAAAGGCAGATGATGCCAAGGAGTCCAGGAAGAAAAAGAATGTTTGGAAACTGATTGTGGTAGCAATTGTACAATTCTGCTTGACATGATTAACTATGGAATTCTATGATTAACTATGGAATTAATATATGTATTAATTCCCAGGTAACAATATATGTTAAAAAATAGTGACTGAAGCCACCAGACACCTTATAGAATTTGGCTGAAGGCTTAGAGTCATAGTTCCACAGACCACTTCAATTGACTGAACTCATGACAGGTTAAGTGTTCGGTTGGCTCTCCTAGCTTGTTGTCTAGTGCCTGGGGCCTTGAAACCTTGCAAGTGGCCATCTAAGATACCACGACTGGTCTCTATTCACCTTGGTCCATAGAGGAAGAAGAAGAGTTAGGGACAGGAGGAGGAAATGGAATGTGTGCTTATGGTCTCTATGAATGAGTGCTCCCTTTTCCACGAGACCAGAGGTGGATGGATGGTGCCAGCTTGCACTACTAAGCATTTTGAGCATATATTTGCTAAATGAACCTTGATCAAAATGGGGGGAAATGCAGAATGGGTTTTCAAATTCTTATGGAAACCAGACTTTTTGGTGTCATGAAAGCTAGCTGAACCTCTGAAACTATTGGAATTTTTTGTTTGTTTGTTTAAGATGTAAAGATTATCTCATGTTGCCCTGACAATCTTTAAACCTTAAACCAGAAAGATTCCCTGAGGTCTTAAATAATAGTGTAGTTCAATAAGTTAGAAAGGCTTGCCTTGAGTATTGTGTTCTTTTAAGATCTATCTATATTGGATCAGACTGAGAAGAGCAATTCGGAAGACAGGAAATGTAGGAGGCAGGGAATTTATGTTAATGAAGGGGCAACAATATGAGGAATGTAGTCAATGCCCCTGAATTGTACAGGAAGACACTGTTGAATTGCTGTATGTTCTCTGCATATTCTCAATAACAACAAAAATGAAATAAATTGTAAAAAGAATAAACACAGAAAATA